AATGCGCGTTGTTTTCCCCAAAGCAACAGCCATCTGCAGGGTCGAGTTGGTGGATAAGATGAAACGTATTCTATTTCGAATAGAGTGGAACAACAGAGAATTAGTGACCATAGCCAAACAACCAAGATGTAGATGAGAGTTCGCTTCTTGTTGAAAGTGTCACTATATTTGAGTGGTCTGATCACAGCGTACCATCGCTCCGTCATTAAAGCCAAGCAGATGTACGCAGAGAATACTACAAGCTGGAAGAGAAATGATCGGCTCCAGATCACTCGGCAAAAAAGGTCCCCCCAAAATGGATTACTTGGATAGGGGAACGCGTCACCAAGAACCAAAGCTGGGTTTGTGATCAAGGTTACGGCGGTTAGCACATCAGCTAGGGCCAGAGAAAGGATCAAAATGTTATAGGATTTCCTCAGTAGCTTCTTGTCTTGAATGAACACCAAAATCACCAGTGTGTTTCCTATAATGGCTACGGTTGCCAGAACTATGTTGATTGTTTGTGAGGCGGTTGTTAAACCTGTTGGTGGATGGCTTGTGGTTTTTGGCGAGGAGGAAATATTCCCATAATCAGAGATGTTTGAAATTTTCATCCTTTCCGTGACTGTAGGATTAAACGCATTGATAGGATAAACTTCTCAAAATCTAAGAAAATAAATGAACAAATGAATGACTGAAAAGGAGGCAATATGCCATTAACTAGTCTTGTTGTCATTTTATTACTACTGCTACTACTACTGCTGCTGATGCTACTGCTACTACTACTACTAGTAGTACGAAACGCACTACTAGACTGCGACCAAAACCACTACTACTACTTCCACCAGAATCCTTTAGGGTTTTTTTTTCTTGTGCAAATTTGGGATCTTTAATTTGTTATTACTGGAATTAACAATTTTAAGAGAAAAAGAAAAAAAAAAAACGAAGTGAATTCTGGTCTTAGTAGTAACAACACGTCATCGTGCAAATGGCCTACCACCTTCCAAGACTGAGCGACCATAGAAAAACGGTCACTGTCTAACTATGACATAAAATGACTTCATCGCCTAGAGTAAATAACGTCGTTTTCTTGACACTGATCGAGACTGCATCAACTAAATATTTTGTGTTCAAGGCCTAGAGCTTATGTACGGTAACAACAAAACTTAACTATCAAGAGCAATCAGTTAACTGATTAAACAAAAACATGCCCTTTACCGCACTGGATGCCAGTTCTTCAGTTATCGGGTAGAGAGTTGCCACTTGATTTTGATGCGGTGTTTTTTTACTATGCATAAGCCTAATATACTTACAGGATTGTTTTTTAAAATTTAAACCTACCTACAAGGATGGGGGTGACAGAAAACTGCGAAGCAATGAGAAGTTTGCTCTTCAGTTAGCGTTTGTCGAAGTGCCGCAGTTGACTTTGCAGTTTGCGTTGATTCTGTAAATTTCTCTATGTCAGCTCTGTCCTCGAGGAAACTTCTTTTATTTGCAATGAAATGAATTACTAGGTAAGTGTCCTTTTGGATCATGCACATTTTCCCTTTAAAGGCTCAGTAAATGATGGAAATTTAACATCTGGCTGAGTAGTTTTTAATTCCATTTAAACTTCAGAGGACGCTCATTAAATCTCCAGTAATGTTTTAAAAAATTAGTGCACTATACGCCATTTGCAAGACGACGTCATTTTACTACTTCACCTGAGCATCATCCAGAGTTTTGCTTTCTTGTGCAAATTTGAGCTTTTATCATTTAAACCCCTCTGGGATTACGAAATTGAAATATCACCCCTCAAACAAAGAAATGGACTCCGGTCGTTGTATGAAAATGACGCCATCGTGTAAATGGTTTATTGAAGTTTAAAGGTGTTAATCACCGCTATTGTCATTGTTCTTGTACGATGCGCTCAAAAACAATGGCAGGACACACGATCGACGAAAGCTGAATAAAATCTTGACAAAGTTACTAAAAAAATGAACAATTCGAATGAATATTAGAATTAAAGTGGCTAAAGTATGGTCAGCTCAGAAAGAAAGGTATATTTTCAGCAACTTGGGAAGGAAAGGAATTTAACAGATTAAACTGCCTAGATCAATTATCAAAATGTTCAATATTCAGGCGAAATTGCAATTAACTGCACACATCTTTCCCAAATCTTGAAATCAATATGCTCTTTATCTTTATAGTCGGAATGGCGTTAAATTTAAGAGTCCATCAAAACTCAGATTTGTTTTCTTTTTATGTATGGCACAACTAATTGGCGTGAATTGCTGTTCAGTTAAATGTTCAATGAGCTTTGAGGATCTAGAGTACGAAGCTTTTTCTCGAATCCTGGGGTAACCCACAAATTTCACTTCCGACTGTCGGTAATCACTGCCTTGTAATTCAGAGTGCTATTACGTAGAATGTATTACTCTTCTCAAGTAATTAGCGCATTTATTTCATGAAAAAAAAAATTAATAGCCCTATCAAAAGCTTTGGGATAGCTTCAGGCATGAATTCTGTCAATCAGAATCGGCTGACGTTATTGCTTTTCTCTCCCACATGCTTGATGTGATTCCAGGTGAGATGCATTAAATAAGGGCCTAATATTTTTGACTCATTATAGGAAGTCGTCTCCTCGTTCAAAATTACAAGATAAATGTCTTTCTCCGGAAATGCATTAGCTACGTAACAAAGGAAAAATAACCTTTTACGACTCTTTTGACTGCTTTGCTTTCACTTTGTGCCGAATGTTATTAAGTGGTAGGTATATAAAATTATGGTATCGTTGTCCTCAAATATCTGAAGCAAAATATCTAAACAAGAGCCATAAAGCAAATCAGAAATTCTAAATAATAAATCAATAACAGGAGCCCATCAAATTTGATGGGCCCCTGATCAATAATGGACAAAAAAAGTACATAGAATACAGTAGAAATTGGTGTCGAAAACAATTTATACTGGGGAGTGCGCTATGCAAATCCGCCGATCCGTCATATTTATTAACCAAATCCGCCATTAAAATTCCGCCCTGAATTCGAAATCCGGGCAAAAATATTTTATTACATGCAAAGTCTAACTGTCCAAAAAAATGGATGAATCCGCAGTCGGCTGCAATTGCAGTATCCGTAAATCCGCAAAAATATCCCTTTGAATCCGAAATCCGGGCAAAAAAAATTCAAAATCCGCCGTTCCGTTGGCCTATTCACCCCGCTCTTTATAAAATTACTCAGAAAGAAAGGGCCCGATAAACAAACGAGCCAGTCTGTGACTGGGGTAAAAAGGATGAAATAGTTATCCTCGATACAACAGTTTTCCCTTCCAATAGGAAATAAAGCTTTGACTGTCTTTATCAAAGGTTGATCTGCGGAATGAAGATATAAATAGAGAGAAGATCATCACAGTTAAAGACACAAGTCATGAAGTTGCGAGTGAAAATACAGCATAAAAAATTCACGATAACTGGGATTCCATTGGTTCATAATATACCCGGGCAATTGATGAAGATGAAATAACGTAACGGAACTAAAGAAGTAAAGAAGGTCGACGCGCGAACACGCCCCCTGGGATCCCTGTGGTTAAATTGCTGGCTTGGTTACGAAGCTGTTGACATATCTAACTTTGAAAAGATGGCGGCAGATGTTGGTGTATAGATCGCATAGTGTTCTCTTTGTATAACGTGTTTCGAACATTGGAAAAGGCAAGATAAACTTCAGGTTCAGATATGTCGGATCGGTGGGAAAATTTACGAGATCGCTTTAAAAAGAAAGATATCGATTTGGACGCCGAATTTGAAAAGTTTCTGAATGAGGTAAACAAACTTTACATGTAAGCTTAACTTCAATTAAAAGGCGTAAGTTTATTTAGGCTTAATATTTTAGGGAGGAATTAAACCTGAAAGTGCTTTCCAAAGTTCTATGATCTGTCAGACTTGTAGTTTGTCATCTTATCTTTATCTTGTGCACCAGCCGATTTTTGCTCCCCGGAAAGCGGAGCATACGTTAGAAATCACAGTCTTCGCCTACCTGACTGGGGAATGAGCGGAGCAGTCACTCAGCGGTCAGTGTTTTCATTTTCGCGCCGCGTAGTAATTTTGCGAATATTTTCATTGCTTCTTGCAGCTAAGAAATACAAATGTACATGTATGCTTTGCAAAGTGTGTTTTGACGCGGCGTACAATAATTAAGACACGTCTTAGATAAGACACAAATACGAGCATATACAGTGTAAGAGGTCTCTTAGCTGTGTTGTGTCTTATTTAAGCTGGAACACAATTTTTTTGTGCCATTTATATGAGAAGTCCATAAGACACAACATCTTATTTTTTCCCCGTATAAGTGGCCCAGTTCCTTAATAACTTATAATATAGCTGTATCATGGAAATAACAGGAAAGACACTTTGTCTTGTGTAATGATTGAGTCATTCTATAAAAACTCCAGAAGGCTGTAAGACATGATTTGTAATTTTTTGTTATCTCGCATTGTGTGACTTCAAGTTGTAAAGTCTTCAAAATTAATAGTCGTCATTTTCCTTCTCCATCAAGGGTTTGCAAGTGTTGCAATGGCTGCTCCGAAATCAGCGTGTTATTTCATGGCTATCCCGCATCATATTATTTGTCATCCCTTGCTACGCTTGGCCATATCAAGATTTGTAGAGAGTTTTAAGAAAGGGAGTACCCGGTGTGTGGGAGGTATGGGGTCCTACAAAATGTCAACTGAATAAAAGCAAGGTCTGACATAGACAAATACTTCAAAATTACATTGTGATCCTCCCAAAGTCTTTGTACAGTTTGATGATCTTGATCCTGTCACATTATACAGTACCACCCAAAATTAAATTGGCAGTCTCAACTAGAGGTGATAAGCAAGGCAATAATTGAGAAGATATGTACTGCAAAAGGCGTTTACACGGGGTGTACTTCACAATTATCCTTTAAAACAGCAAACAGAGTGCAAACTATTTGATGAATTTGTTCCTCAAGAGATTAGTCAAGGGACATGCTCATTATATATTTCTTGACTTGAAACTTTGGACTCAAAACTCAAGACTCAACCCTCGAAAGTTTGAGAATCAAGAGTCAAGTCTCGAGGATTGAAGACCCGAGTGCTTGTGAACTTACTTTTAACAGTACTGAATTTACGTACCCCAATGTTAAAGACACTGCATGCAGTTGAAATCTTTATTTTCCTTTCAATTTAAACTAAGCCCAATAATTTATATTGTTTTTCAATTCATCTTCTCAGTCCATGTCAGATGAGTCAGCAATGGGCTCTCCACGGATAAAGACTCCTGATTTGAAGACAAAGCCAGTTCGAGGTCAAATGCCTTGGTGGGCCGAGGAAGATGATGAGGATGACAATGATAAAAGAGAAGCTACTCGTCAGAGCTGGCTAAAACCAAAGAAGCCGGAGGTCAGAGAACAAGAAGAACTCAAACATCAAGATCAAGATGCAGTAGACAATGTAAGAAGAAAGTGCAGTGAACTTCTCTTTAAAAATGGCCACTAGTAATCACCCTATAAGCGGGTGGGTGAAAGTTTTACAGAATAGTGAACCTCATTTATTGTTGATTTAGCACACACCCACTGTGATAAACCACAGATGGGGTGCAAAAATTTCTTAGAAAAAT